AGGCATAGGGAGGGAGTAAGTAGAGATGGGAAACTACCAAAATCCTTTTTCTCAATGGCAAAAAACTGTAACATGTTAGATATCTGGCGACTTAGACACCCGCTGGACAAACAATTTACTTTCTATTCTGAACCAAACCGGTCGATGTCTCGGATAGATCAGGTTTGGATATCAAATGAATTATGTCCAAGAGTTAAACAAGTAGAAATAAGACCAAAAGTAATCTCCGATCATAACCCGATAGAACTTGAACTGGAGAGTTTAGAGACAAGAACTTTTAGATGGAGACTAAAAGATTATCTCTTAGACGATCAGAAAATTGTCGAAAATGCACAAAAGAAGTTAACAGAATACTTTGTGGATAACAGCGGCAAAGGAACAAAGGCTAATGTAGTGTGGGACGCAGGTAAGGCTGTGATAAGAGGATACTTTATCCAGCAGAATGCAATCAAAAATAAGAACAGAGAGAAAGGAAAAGAAGAAATCTTAAAACAGATAATGGAGAATGAACAGAAACTAATTCAAAAACCCAATTGTCGGAAAGTTAAAGAAAATATTAAAATTTTACAAACTCAATTTGCCACAATAATAAATAGAGAGGTGGAATGGAACATCAAAAAATTAAGACAAAGGAACTTTGAATTTTCGAATAAATCAGGCAAGTGGCTTGCCTGGCAAATTAGAAAAAGAAAAGAGCAGGGTATAATAAATAAAATCACAGTACAAGGAGAAGAAATAACGGACCCGAAAGGAATTAGGAAGGAGTTCCTGGACTATTATAGAGACCTGTACAAAAATAAAGAGAGAAACAACTCGAGAAAAATAAGAAGGTTTTTAAAAGACAAAATGGTGCAGAAAATTCCAATAGAAAAAAGACAACAACTGAACACCCCGATTGAAACAGAAGAGATAGAAGAAGTAATTAAAGAGCTTAAAAGGGGAAAGGCCCCAGGACCAGATGGTTTCACTGCAGGGTATTATAAAGAAATGAAAACAATCTTGGTGGAACCATTAAAGGAAATTATGAATAATATTCTAAGAAGAGGAGAAATCCCAGAGACCTGGAAAGAGGCTTATGTTACCTTTATCCCAAAACAGGATGCAGATCGAACCCTAGTCAAAAATTACAGGCCGATTTCATTATTGAATGTAGATTATAAAATCTTCGCAGGAGTTCTTGCGAAGAGAATGAAGATGGTATTATCAGAAATTATCCACAAAGATCAGGCGGGCTTCCTCCCAGGCAGGCAGATGAGGGATAATATAAGAAATATAGTGGACATGTTTGAATATTTATCTGCCAAGATAGACAAAGAAGTTATAATGATGTTTGTGGACGCAGAGAAGGCATTTGATAATGTGGCCTGGGATTTTATGTTGACGAATCTGGAATATATGGAAGTGGGTAAAGATTTTCTTAATGGGATAAAAGCGATATATACAGAGCAAAAAGCCAAATTAATTATAAATAACATCGTGACAGAAGAGATCAAGATACAGAAAGGTACAAGACAGGGATGCCCGCTTTCCCCGCTATTATTTATAACAGTATTAGAAGTCCTTCTGAATTCAATCAGGCAAAATGAAAAACTAAAAGGAGTGACAATTGGGCAGAATGTGTACAAGATCAAAGCATTCGCAGATGACCTGGTAATAATGACTGAGGAACCAACAACTACTATAGAGGTAGTCTTAGAGGAGTTAGATCAATTTGGAGAGCTATCAGGCTTCAAATTAAACAAGAGAAAAACGAAAATGATTGCTAAGAATGTAGATCAAAGTGCATTAGAAATAATTCAACACCAATCACAGATAGAGGTGGTTAAAAAACTGAAATATCTTGGAATCTGGATAACATCTAAAAATATAGACCTATACAAAAATAATTATGAATCGGTGTGGAAGGAAATAAGAAAAGACTTGGAAATGTGGGGAAGACTGAAATTGTCATTATGGGGAAGGATCAATACAATTAAGATGAATGTATTACCAAGAATGCAATTTCTATTCCAGACCATCCCTATAATTAAGGGGAGCCAAATCTTTAAAGAATGGCAAAGAGTGCTCTCAAGATACATCTGGCAGGGCAAAAAACCCAGAATCCAATATAAATTGTTAACAGATATAAAGGAAAGAGGAGGCTTTGCCCTGCCAGATCTTAAATTATACTATGAGGCATCAGGCCTTTGCTGGGTAAAGGAGTGGGTAAAATTAACGAACAAAGAACTACTTGACTTAGAGGGTTTTGACAATAGGTATGGCTGGCATGCCTACCTATGGTACGATAAAAGAAAAGTACACAAGGGATTCGAAAATCACATCTTCCGGGGTCCACTGATTGAAATATGGGAAAGGTATAAAAACATATTAGAATTTAAAGTACCACACTGGCTATCACCTCTCGAAGCGACGAGCGTGAAGAAAATCAATATGAGGAGTAATTGGGTAACTTATAGTCAACTATTAACCAAAGAAGAGGGAAAATGGAAATTAAAACCGTACGAGCAGATTAAAGAGTATGTATACGATTGGCTACATTATCGACAAGTAAATGAAATGTTTAGAAAGGACAGTAAAGAAAGAGGGTACGTGGACAAAGAATCCAAATTTCAGAGTGAGATTATAAATAATGAAAAGAAATTAATATCTAAAATGTATAGGCTGCTGTTAGATTGGAATTTAGGGGACGAGGAAATTAAATCAGTAATGATCCACTGGGCCAGAGATGTGGGACATAGTATACAATTTGAGGACTGGGAGAAATTGTGGAACGAGGGATTGAAATTTACAGCGTGTATGACGATAAAGGAAAATGTAATGAAGATGTTTTATAGGTGGTATATAACACCCAGGCAATTATCAAAAATGTATAAGGTATCCAACAAATGCTGGAAATGCAATGACAAAGAGGGCTCCTTTTACCACATGTGGTGGGAGTGTAGAAAAGTAAAACAATTTTGGGAAAATATATATATCGAATTAAAGAAGATCTTAAAATACACGTTTAAAAAGAAACCTGAAATCTTCCTATTAGGGATTTTAGGGAATGAGATAAAAAAGAAAGATTGTAAATTTGTATACTATGCGGTAACAGCAGCAAGGGTAATACTAGCCCAAAAGTGGAAACAGCAGGAAATGCCAATGATAGACGAGTGGAGATCAAAGTTACTAGACTACGCGAAGTTAGACAGAATGACAGGAAAGATCAGATATGTAAGAGACCAAAAGTTCATTAAGGAATGGGGAAATTATGTTGATTATCTGGAAAAGGTAAGCGAGGGACGTACAACGCTAAGGGGATTCAGAGAAGCACTGTGAAAGATTGAGAGGTATTGTACAAAGGGAATAGAGGAGAAAAAGAGGCACAATGACAATACAAGCAAGAAAATGCGTTACTTTAATTATCGCCACGAATGATTTGCGGGCAAGCTGAAGGAAGTCTCAAAAACGATAGCAATGTAAAATCTTTGACGTAAAATTTACAATCTGTGTATTTCTCTTTTTTTCTTGTTTTGTTATGTGCACTTTTATTTTATTTTCGTTTGTTTGTTTGCTTGTTTACTTGTTTCTTTTTTGAAAATCAATAAAATAATAATCTGCAAAAAAAAAAAAAAAAAGAGAACCACAGTCTTACTCCCTTAGGGAAAGGATGGGGAACCGGCAGCCCTCCAGATCTTGCTAGACTACAGCTCCCACAATTCATGGTTGCTCTCCATATGGATGAAGCTGATGGGCATTAGAATCCAACTACATCTTGCTGCCCACTTTGGTCTTAGGGTATGGAGCAGACATGAGATGGAGCTTTGGCTGCATTGCAAGATTGAAACAATTTTAAGTTAGCTAACAATTGCAGATAATGTGTGTGTTGTGATTAAAACTTCAGAGGCAAGGCAGGAGAAAGCTGCATGGTTTTGCATGCCCACTGGCCTTGTGACACAATTTATTTATTTAGTTTATTGATTAACTTCACGTATAGTGAACCTTTCAGCTCCAGAGCTCCAGCTGATGTACCTTACAGCAATATGAAAGCAAATCTGGGGAGGGGCATGGTGTCAGTTAAAGAGGGCAACTCTTCATTTTGCCATGTGTGTGCATGTGTGTGTATTCCTGTTTTTTGTTGCAATTCTTGCATCTGAAGTTTTGTAAAGTTCACACGGTTAATTTGCAGATGAGCCAAGTTCCCCTCAAGGAGCCCAGGTTTGAGAGAGGCTTTAGACAAAACATTCTTTTGCTTTTTATTAATGGTGAATGAAAAAACAGCATTGTTGGCCAGCCTTTTTGGCAAGTTTGGTATGAGTTAAGGCTGTGGTCCTGCTGTAATAGGCCTGATTCTGTGCCACGGCTTGCACCCATTGTACCACAACTGTGCCAATGGATGGACTTCCCCACACTGGTGGCAAACTTAGAAGATAAGGAATAAACCTTTGGCAGTGCTAGCCTTTGAAGGAGACCACAAAGGGAGCCTGTTACTAGAAGGTCGGTAAGCAAAAGGGAGGCCAATGGCAGCTCCCGGCTTCCAAAGCAGGCACAAAACATGATGGCAAGCAGGCACAGAATGGCAGAGTTGGAAGGGACAATGAGGGTCATCTAGTCCAACCCCTTGCCACGCAGGAATATTTCGCATGCCTTTGGAGATCTCCTGAGCTGGCTCTACTGGAGTCAGGACACTGGACGAGATGGATTATTCAGTTTGATCCAGCAAAGCTCTTGCAAACAGCTAGATGACCGCTGGGGTCCCTTCCCGCTCTGCGATACTATGATGCTATAGTTCCAGTCACGTAGGAAGCCGGCCTTCCAGAGTGGATTCCGCTGTGTTCTTACGGGGGCGGGAGCGAGGGGGGCGGGGTGAAACAGAGGGAAGGAGGCGCGGTCCCTCTTTTGATTGGCCTGCAGCAACCCCCGTATTTAAATTTGGTCGCTGCACGGAACTTTCGCGAGCCAATGCCCTTTTCGCTCCCCGCCCGTCCCCCCCAATCCCCGCTCCCCAATGGTCGCGTTCCTACAGGCAGCCCCGACGAGTTTGCTGAATAACTCAAGGCGCCCTTCCCCTCCAGCAGGGAGACTAAGGGAGTGAGAATAAAGACAGATAGCGGATCGAGCCGCGGGAAGGAGAGGAAGGAGGGAGGGGGGGCGGAAAGCCAAAGAAAGTTTCTGCCTAACTTTGCTATTGCTGCTGCCACCGCAGATCAGCAGCTATGCTGGGGGTGGACGGCGTGCTGGAGCTTGGAGGGCTCAGATCGCCTTAGGAAAGGCAGGAAGGGGGGGAAAGGGAGCTGGAAAGATTCAGGGCGCAAGGAAAACGGAGAGGAGCCCCCCTCCCTCCCTTCTCCCCCACCCCCTCTGGTCGGGGCCCACGAGGAAGCCGTCCAGGGTAGCAAAAGTCCCCCGCGGGGAGGAGGAGGAAAGTTGATCCAGCGAGGGAGGGGAGGGGAGGGGGAAAGACCATCTCCGAGTGGGGCAGCTTCGGGTGGGCAAGGATGAGCCTCTTGTCAGCCATCGACACCAGCGCTGCCTCCGTCTACCAGCCCGCGCAGCTGCTCAACTGGGTCTATCTGTCCCTGCAAGACACGCACCAGGCCAGCGCCTTCGATGCCTTCCGACCGGAGCCTTCGTCGTCTCAGCACCCGGAGCTGAGCTACCCCAGCAAGAGCAGCGCCGAGCTGGGCTCCTCCCTCAGCTCCAGCTATCTTAACAGCTTCTTCCAGCTCCAAAGGAACGAGGTAACGCGATCCCTTCCTCTGCAACTCAGCCCCAGCTGAAAGGAGCGCTTTAAAAAAATGATGATGATAAATACCGATTTTTGACCCCCACTTGGAAATAAGCTGGTTGGTTGTGGTTTTGGCCTCTGAAATGGAGCTGGAAAGGGCTGGACTTTGCTCGGCTGGGGGAAGGAAGAGCCGAGCGACCATTGCTTGGACGGGGGGCGGCGGAGGGAACAACCGGGAAAAGTTTGCGGAAAGTTGCTCCCTCTGAAAACTTTTGCACCGCCATGATGCTTTGCAAGTATTTTCTCCCCCGTCCTCGGCGCCCTTTGACTCTCTCCAATGCGCTTTTCTTTTTTTTTATTCCTTCTCTTTTTTTAACCGCTTGCTCCTTTGAAACGTGGAGCGCTTGGTAATCGAGTTAGCAGATTTATGCAGAAGGGGGTAGGTAGGCGGCCTCTGGAGAGACGTTTCTCTTCCGCGTCAGAGATGCAGGAGATCTAAAGAACCCAGGCGCACTCTTCGTTGCAACGGTTCAGAATTTTGTCCTACAGAAACGTTGGGAAAACAACTGGTTTTTACGCGTTGCTTACTGCTTGCTTGACGGTTCTTAGGCTGTTACAAACGAAGCATTCCGAACAGGGTGTTCATATTGGAATGCGCTTCGAGTTGGAACAAAGTTGATTTCAGTTTCCCATCTAGATTTCTCTTTCTCTCTTTGGTGTGTATGTGGGGGTTTACTTTGGATTTGCAGTCCAGTGAAAATTCTGCAGTTGGAAACTACCTTCCCTCCCTTGCCCACGCGTTTGAGAGGGTGCGGGAAGGTGCGCTCGCGCTCGTGGGTTTAGTTCCTGTTGACATTGTGGTCAATGATTACATGGGCTGATCAGAGTAAGGCTGATTGAATTGCCTACCTATATCCTAAACTTCGGTGATATAAATACTGATAGGGTCGCTGGGGCTGGAGGTGGGGAAGGAAGTCGGAGATATCTGGGTAGACTCAATCTCAGGGTCCTAGGTTTGAGCCCCACGTTGGTTGGGTAAAAGATTCCTGCATTTCAGGGCATTGAACTAGATGACCCTTGGGATCCCTTCCAACTCTACAGATTTATGATTCTATGATCTTCAACAAGTCAGCAATCACTTTTAGCACCATCGCTTTAAAAAGCGAGAGAGTTAAGCTGACCAGTATTATGCTATTATTAACTTCAAAAGACAACTGGGCTTTTCTAGCCCAGGAAAGTTTCTAAGTAGTGTTCTTGCATTTTCATTCTCTCTGGTGTCTCCTACATTTACATGGTAAGTTTCCTGGGGAGAAGGGGACTGTATCTTCTTAAGTACCTCTCTGAATCACCATATACAGTATTATGTTATTAGCAAACATAAAAGCCCCAGACTGGTTTTTCAGACTTGGAGCAAAGTCACATATGCATGTTAAAATACTTGCATCAGGTGGGGGCATCTTCCTCTGTTTCAGTTAGTGGGCATTGTCACTGTCCGTGGTTATACTTTCTAAAATGTCACTGTATCCCCCTTCAGCTACTGCAAAAGGAAGACACTCCCCTACTTAGCTAGCCAGGATGCTGGTCTATAGTAGGTTGGGCCTGGGACCAAACTTGGATACAATCCCACTGTATAGTGTGTAACTTTACCTGCCTAAATTATCTGTCCAGCAGTCTCTCTGCCCCAGCAAGGCAAGGTTGGCAGTTTCACCTTTATGGAGTGCCTTATCTTTTCTTTTAAAAACATGTGGTCTTTTCATCTTTTTTTTAAAAAAGGGGATGGAGGGAATATGAAGGGAAAGGAGAGTTAATAGATGCCATTAAGTGATCATGGGCATGGCAGAAAATGGGGCGCTCATTTGGCTTTGTGTGTTTGGCATGTGTGTTTCAGTTAGGATGTTTATCTGCAATTACGGGTGTGTGTAAAGGGGGGGGGGAGGAGAATTTTGTCAAGAAGGCAAAACCAGTGCCAGAGGCATGGTGACTTCTGTCCAGGTATTATGACCTCTTTTCCTGCTGCAGAACTTGGAAATAAACTGCTGCACTTCCCACCAAATGTATATAGCTATGGGGGAAAGTGTCAGATGGAGGGTTTAAAATGTGCTTCAGGTACTTTACTTCAGTTCACATAAGTGGCACCAGGATCTGCCAAAGGGTTGAAATTAAATTGTGCATCTAAGTTCCTAGCAGGACAGCAGTTATTAAAACCCCCTGATATATTTGTATTTAGAACTTCATCTCCGCATTTCAAACATGCAAGCTAACAGCAGAAGAGAGGTCCCAAGGATCTTTAAGTGGCATGTGTAAAATGGGTCTTATTTAGAAAACAAGTTTAGGGAGCCTCTTGTTAATAAATCTGCTATTATTTATCCCAGTATCATTCTGTCATTTTATTTGTGATGCAGTTTGCAGAATAATCAAAGGAAGAAGGGGTTTGAACCTGGTAGAGTCTGTTGTGAACACCAGGCAATCATACTGATTGCTTTCAAAAAGAAGTGACTTCAGAGCCATTTGTAAATATTCTCGTAGTGCAAATTGGTTAAAACAAAGTAGCTGGATATCTGTTGTCCTCTGTATATGTGGAACTGTGATGGTGCATGATACACCTTCTGAACTTGAGGAAATAAGATGGGATACACACAAATAAATAATATTTCTGTGGTTATGAGATATGTAAATACCCAGAGCATGCTCTCAAGTTACACTGCTTTTGAAAAAAATATTGTTGAATCTTGGGCCAACCTTTGCTGTGAATCTGCACCCTGCCACAGTCAGATCGCTCTCCCTCCCCCACCCCCTAATGTAACCTTTCCCAATGTAACCCTTAGTGATGCTGCAATGACATCACCCTGTGATACCCCTGCCATGCCATCCCATCTGTTAAATATGGCCATGTCTTGGAGTTGTGTGCTTGATATTACTATTTGGCATCATCTTATAGTAGCTTTCACTGGCATACCAGTGCCAATTAGTGGTGTGGTTTGTAAGTAGCTGCTTGTCTAGAGTAAGAATGGTCCCCAGCTAAGCAGGTAAGGAACTTTACGAAAGTTGGTTCTTTTTAAATTTTAGGCCCCCAGTGCAGGCATGTGTGAGCAGGCAGACTAGTAAATTTTTTGTGTAGTCTAGCAACTTTTGTGAACTTATCAAAGCATTCCTGGGAGCTGCTTTGAAAGAGAAATGAAGTTTTGGCCCAGGTTGCAATGCCAGTTCAGTGGAACAGAGCTATGTGTTATCCTCCCACACCACCCATCTTAAAAAGCTATTTGCCAGATCAAAAGCTTTTGATTAGTCTGAAAGCTTATGCCACAATAAATAGGTTATTATTTAAAGTACCACAGGATTCTTTGTGGGCTTCAGCAGCCTAACATGGCTACTTATTTAGGAATTATTTAGTTTTTTAGTCTTATCAATGCAGGAATGTGACAGAAATTTTCTTTTTCATAATTCTGCAACTTCTTTGAAGAATGCCAGCTCACAGGTTTAGGGCCTGCTACTTTCCAAAGAACACAGAACTGTATGTCTGTTGATCCCAGCTAGGCTCTTTCGTTGTTTTCCTCTTTTAAGTCATGCATCCTTCAACTGCTTATTAAGTTTGAGGTTCTTCCTATCCACCCCCCCGTGATCAAGTTACTATGAAGGCAAACTGTTATTTTAAAACAAATCCAGTGCAAAGTACACTGACATTACTTTTTCCTCTGCATTGTGAATAAAAAGATAATCCAACCCTTGCATGTAATCTGTGGAAGTTGTCTTCTACAGTACCTTCCCTAAACTGAAGCCTCAGCATTTTGCAGTCTTTTAGGGGCTTTCTTCCTGTTTCCTTTCCTTTCCCATTTTTTTTTTACAGGAAAGATTTCTGATGAGTTTGTGTTTCTGTTGATTCCTTGCTGTCTTTAACAACTCAGTCTGAACATGTTTATTTGGAAGTGAATCCTGTTGATCTACGTGGAACTGTAGGTGTGCCAAGGGATCTGGCAGTCTGAAGGACCACCCTCTTTGCTTATGAATCTGCCCATTAGATTATCAGAAACCCAGCCCTACATGTTTTCAGCCTGAGTTTGGTGGGTGACCACTGGAGACAAGGCCTTTTCTGTTTTGGCACAATGATTATGGAACTTTCCCCAGAGAAGTCTGCTTTGAAATTTCTGCTGCTGTTTTCTGATGCGGCTTTATTTATACTTTGGTTTGCTTTACTAATTTCAATTATTGTTACTGATATTTCCTTTTTTCTGAATTGCCTTCAACACATGCATGGAAAGGTATACTAGAAATAATTTGAATATTTGCCCCTCCCTGCTTGGATGCCATTATGCTCTGCTCCCCTGAACACCCTACTTAAGTGATAGGTCAGGTCTTAATGATGCTACTTAGCTTTCAAGTGTTCCAAGCCATTATGATGCATTGTTTTCTTGTAATCCACACACTCTCATAAGGTTCATCAATTTTACTATCCCTTATTGCAGATGGCAAACTGAGGCTGAAAGATACCATCACTAGTGGACTAAGGCTAGTTGGTGAGCCATTGTGGTTTAGTGGTTAGAGTGTTGTATGCAAGGGAGACCGTGGCTGAGATCTCCACTCAAGTCACGAAACTTCCCCCACCCCAAAGATCTTTATTGAAACTTAACATATATACATAATAACCAAAATTCCCAATGATCCCCTCACATAAAATATCATATCTGAATTACAACAGCTACTTGATTATACACTTAATTATAAAACTCACCACCCACCCGCTACTTCCCTCCACAGCAATTTGACTTCTTTATATTTCTTTCTACCTTTTTTCCTTGCAATCTATAATAAATTATTTTTGTTACATTCTGATTTTTCCTTCCTTCTTTATTGGTTTTTTTATTGCTTACATTTTTTATTCTAAGCCTATTAGCACGTCATATTTAGAACAATATTTTGACATACACTATCATCTTCGAAATACTTCCACTCCATTCTTAACTTTTCATTTGATTGATATCTTAAAATTGAAGTTAATTTTGCCAATTCTATATACTC